GTGGGGGGTGGGGAGCTGGGGAGAGATAGCAAGGGGAGAAATGCCAGATGTAGGTGATGGGGAGGAAGGCAGCAAATCACACTGCCACGTATGTACCTATGCAACAATTTTGCATGTTCTTTACATGTACCCCACAATCTAAAATGTAATAAAATAAACAAATGGGGGAAAAAAAAACACTTGTTGAAGAAGTTAATTATTTGATCTGAGAACAAACACACTTTCTGCATTACAAAGGGACTGAAGACAGTGCCCTCCATGGGTGCACACATTCATTCAACATTTATACCAACTACATAACAGGCTCTGTGCTTGTGAATTTCACATACTGAGAGGTAAGGGTAATGGATCCCCTGCAGGGTAGCCTTCCAGAGAGGGTATTGGTTCTCCTAATAGAGCCCCAGCCTAGCGCTTGAGGCAATATATTTTGAGGTGGCAGATCAGGACTGGAGGCCGCAGATTTTCTTAATTTTGCTATAATCACATATTTTGGAGCCCAGCCCCCCTGCCACAGTAAGGCCTGGTGCTTCCCCAGTAATGCAGCCTTAAAGTTCCATGGCTCAAGACTGGGCTCTCTTTCTTAGGGTCTCACATTGGCCATGCTGGATTGCTATGTGCTGTTTCAGAATATAGGGTGCATGCTTCCTCCCTGGGGAAACTACACACCTGCTCTTTCTCATCTTTATGAATTTTCTCTAGTAAACACTGTTCTAGAAGATCTGGTGTGTGTACTGTTTACTTGACATGTATACCATCACATTTTAAATGTCATAAAAACTTTGGCAAGTGGTTATTATTTTTTCCATATTTTTTGATGAGAAAAGTGAGGCTTAAATACATTTATGAAGCTTGCCTAAGGGCATAGAGCTCATAGAAGAGTTTGAATACTCAGAAATTCTTTCTGATACCAAATTTGGTGTTCATGCTATTGTAGTGTTAGAATCTCTAAGTCTAAATGCAGTGCACTAACAGTTTCAAAAATGATATTTTTCTTTTTTAAAATTCATTTTTTCCCTTGTAACCCTCTTGCCATAAATTTTGAGGATTAATCTTATTCGTTCAGTAAAGGGAGATTGTGAAAGGATCCGGTGACACCAAAAGGTCAAATTCTTGACTTTGTATTCAAAATGGACTTAAAAGGTCTTAGGAGGAAAATGTATCCTGAAATAAGGCATATTTTTGAGTTGCAAGAGCCAGGTACTTGGTAATTTTTCTTTTAGAAAATTTATGTATGAAGAGCAGAGCCTGAGGTTTCGGCACAGTTTTAAAAAATTGCAAATCCTGTCTAAAACCCTGAGCTAGCAATGCGGATGATAAAAACAACAGGATAGGTTGACTATCCCCTGCAAAGAGAGCTTTTGCCTGCTTCTCATCTGGAACTCTGATAAGATCTAACTTTGTGAAATGATCTGCTGAAACATATTGCAGGCACAGTAGAGTAGAAAGGACGTTATGGTCTTTTAAAATGTTGTCTTCTAAAATATCTTCTAAAAGTTATTGCTTGCTTAAGGGAGCTCATGGAAAGTAGCTGGAAACTGAGAACCATGTGCCTGCAACAAGGACCTCATTGAAGAAGGTGTATAGTGCACAGTCTAAGTGAAGGATGTGCTTGAGTCTCAGAGGATCAACACCTCCAGCAGGAAAGGAGATGGGATGCAAGGTAGCTGGAAGAGATGGAAGAGCACGCATGCTGAGTCTTAGAGAAATTCCTAAATGCTGCACCTGACATTTACACTTAGATTTCATTGACCAGAATGTAGTTCATGCCCAAACTTCGCAGTAAGGAGGTCTGGGCAACACGGATTTTATTCTGGGGCAGAGTAGAAGAGGGGAAGACAGCAGAATGGATATTGAGGAAAAAAGCATCAGGCTGTACCTACCACACAGGATGAAGGACTTTATATAATGATGAAAATCTAGAAGAGATGGATAATTTCTTGGACATTATCAATGCTAAAAAGACTGAAGAGTTATAAGTCATAAACCATATACACCAAAAACATTGCACTAGATAAATAAAGGAGAAGCAATTTGCGAGAACTTGACAAAATAAGTGAAAGATTTCGGTGGTCTTTTTCAGAATGTGACAGATTTTAGAAAACAAAAACAAGAACATAGGAATATTTAATAATATGATCAAAAAAGCTGAATACACACACACACACACACACACACACACAGCTTTCCAATAACATTATTATGATTATGTACTTGGCCTTCATGTTAATCTTAATAAAAGTTTTTAAAAAGTAGAGCTCATATAGGTGCATTCTCTGACCATAATTTAGTGAAAATAAAAAACGTTAACTCTTTTGATATTAAGAAACAACTTCTAGATAAACCTTGAGGCAGACATACTATTAAATGAAAAAATAACCAACTGTGTTAAAAGCAATGAAAAAGAGACTAGTTCACACCAAAACATGAGACAGGGTGGAAGGAATATTCAAAGGAGAATTACTCATCTTCAATGCCTTTTCTGGGACACAAATAGCACCATTGAGAAAAATGTCTCCTTTCCTAATATTTGTGGTAAGTGGACTTGGCAACTGATGTATCTGATTAAGATGGATCCAAGTATTTTATGGAACTTCTTGTCAGTAGAAACTCTGATCACGGACAGCAAGTGCCAGAAGCTTAGCATAATGTCACCAGAAACATTCCTAAAGGTCCTACTGGGGGAACAATGTATTTGGTTTAGCATGCTCTAATGTGTTGGAGATTTTCACCTTTGACAGTATTTTCTTACTACACCATCACACCCTTAAAATCAACTGCTTCAATTTTGAATGTCTGTGTTGTTTCTTCTAAACTAAGGTTTAATAATGTATTTTCAGTGATTCTAGTAAAATAAAGCAAAAAAAAAATCTATATACTCATAAGTTGGGAAGGGATCAGTAAGGGAGGTGGAAAGAACTCAGTTTTTTATGTTATAAAGATCAAATTAATGAAATTCTTAGTTCTATTCATTTGTTTTAGGGTTTGTTTATATTCCTGATCTTAAGAAGATATAAAATTCCATCTTCAGAATCCAAGAGTTCTCTCTAAGAAGGAAGAGATTTGCAGACTTAAGTGAATATTATTCCTTCAGTAAATTAGATTGGATTGAGCAATTTTTTTTTCCCTGTGATGAATGGTTTCCTTGTGAATTTGTTTTCAGCATGGAAGTGAATGTGTGAAGACATGCTGTTAAATACTCCAGAAAGGTTATAGAAAATCTGATGTAACATCCTGTTGGCTGATTCTGTAACAACAGAGCAAATAAGATTGTCAATGCCAAGTAAAAATTTCCTGACAATCAGTCATTAACAAGGAAACTTGCTTTGGTAACAGGTCAAGAAACTTGAAATTTGAGATATGTTATGAGTATTTAAAAATACAAGGTCAAAGTTTTTTCAGCCTACTCTGTCAGAGTGAAGCCTCTGTTTGACTCAAAGGATGACGGAACTAGTCAGTTTTTCATGTCGAATTTTATTTCATCTAAATGTGAAAGTTATTATAGTCCCTGCTGGAGGCTCTGAGTGGTAGCAGGAGCTTTGGTCCGTACACTGCTGTGCCTGACTTTTCATAATCTGCCAACAAATTGCCGCAGAAGCTGGTTTGCTTGTAAAGACTCTATGGGAAATTTAGAAAAATAAGTATTTTTAGTTTTTAAATGTTTTTAAGGTGCTATTGCTTAGGAGCGGTCAAATGTTGAAATGTTAAGGTCAGCTTTTTACATTTTGGTAATTTCTGAAATATTGTCACTTAAAAGCCTGACTGAATCAAGTTTATTATTTTTCTAGAAGTTTGGGATGAAAATGTGATGCAGTTGATATCTGAAGATACTGACTAGGGCTTGTTTATCTCATTAGTGGGACAGGAAAACTTATTTTCAATTATTTTTATATAACATTCAAATTGGGGATTTCTTATAAGACAATTTTCCTGAAAGTGAAATTTATTCTAATCTAGTCTGCAATGGGCAAAAAACGTTTAAAATAATTCTTCAGTGTAGTAAAACAATTACAAAAAAAATAAATGGAGGGAGAAGAAGAAGAAACTGGTAATTAATATAGGAGAAAATATGATGTTCTCCTGATTGGCAAGGACACTCAGATAGTCTTGGAGTAAATCCAGCCAAAGGATACATTTCCCAGAGATTCTCCACACATTGAGATAAACAGATACTTAGATCACATGGATAGTATCTGACTACTGTAGTCAATATTTTAGCAGGAAACATTAGGTAAGGAACCTCACATAGAACATTCTTTTAAAAAGCATGTATTCTTTTTTTATTTCATTGGTAAATGCCATACGTTACATTCACATATAAAACAAATAATGATTCCATATTTCATAGGAATTATTTGTGACAGTTGCACTACATGTAAAATTATTCCATAAGGGAAGACTAACAAATTCTGACAGTGAGGCAGTAAAGGATGAGAACTCATATCCTCAGGAAATACATGTATAGGATTCTTTCCTCAGCCTGAATACATTAAAAAAAAAATACAAAAAGATTTTTTTTTTTTCCCCTGAGCTAGGCATGGTGGCTCATGCCTATATAATCCCAGCACTTTGGGAGGCCAAGACGGGAAGACAACTTGAGGCCAGGAGTTTGGGACCAGCCCGGGCCACAGAGCGAGACCCTGTCTCTACAAAAAATAAAAAATTAACTGGGGGGAAAAATTCCACAGTTAAGAAAATAAAACATCTTTTTTTCACCTATTTCAGAATTTCCCTTGCAGAAAGAAATGCAGAGACAGTGAACAAGCGTCGCAGCCATAGTTCTTCAGCAGGAGTAGGCCTGGGGCATCAGTTGCAGGTTTGGGTACAGACTGATGATGTTAGGCGAGCACTGTGTGTCCACGGCACAGAAGTAGGTGGCAGAGAGGCCATGCACGGGGGCTGTGATGTGCAGGGTGCTGAGACGGGCTTTGGTATCAAGTGAGGCCGTTAATTGTCCCTCCTGGATCACTGCTCCATTTGCCAGCAACACAAACAGAGATTCCAGGCTTTTCCCAGGATCCTGCCTGTACCAGTGCAGTCTATCTGAAGCTGTGGTTGAATAATTGCAGTAGATAGTACAGTTTTTTCCCTCCTGCGTGCTCAGGAACAGAGGACTTTGTCCCACTTTCAGCTCTCCACGTAGCCCTGTCCAAAAGAGAACATTTCAGAAGGAGGCACTCACCCCAATAATCCAGTTCCTCCCCAGGGAACCCAAATGAGTCGCATTGAATCTTCTCTCTACCCCCGAACATTATAGGGACAACTCCTTTACTCCCATGGCTCCCTTTTTCAATGAAGCCTTAGCTCACGGTCTAGTTGAAGCCACAGAATCACTGCTAGTAGCTTCTTCATATTTTTTTTCTGTCCACTTCACTGAAGCCTGAGATTTAGAAGCCTTGAAAGCTGGCCAGGGCTATCCAAATATAGTAGTTTTTCTTTCTCTACAGAACACGATTTCAAAAGATGTTCCAACCAATTAGAATCACATCCTGCAATTTACTAAGTCCCTTCTCTTCTTTAAAAAAAAAAAAAAAAGAAAAAAGAAAAGAAAAAAAAAAAGAGTGGGGGTGGGGTTGGACAGTAATTATGAATGGAAACAGTGCCCTCTTCAGGACACTTAGAGAAATTCCTGAGAAAGTAGTAAGTAGAATTGGTGCTTCTTGCAAGCTAGCAAGGTGTTCCGAAAAATTTCCTAGTGAATTAACTCTTTAACATCTCATTGATTAAGTGAGGGAATTTTACAAATGACAGAAATGTAATTCAAATGAGTTTAGGCAAGAAGTAAATGCACTGACTCTGATAAACTTGGCAAGAGCAGAAGTGTATATGGACTTCAGGCATCCAGGGTGCCAGGGAACGTAATCCTTCAATACTTCTCCTTTCATTCTGTGTCTTAGTTTCCTTCTTCAGACCAGATTCCACCACAAAGCAGCAGGTGTGACTGTAAACATTTTCTGGTTGGGATTCATCTCACAGTGTAGCCACCAAGGAAGTACTGAGGCTCCTTTCTGATCCCAGATTTTAAAATATTGAGGTAAGGCTTCGATTGCCTCAGTCTGAGCCAGGCAATTCATGACTGGAGTGGTGTATACATAATATGATTGGCGCAGCTGGGTTAGGCATCTACCTCTGGATCATTCATCAGCCCATTCATAAGTAGGATGGCAGTCTCCACTCATAATACATGGTTAGAATTTATATTTTACCAAGAATGAGTTACTATTCTAAGTGAACAAAATGGTAGATGCCCACACAGTCGTGTTATCTCAACTCTGTGGACTGTTGATGGAGGGAGAGTGGGAGAGAAGGAAGGCTTTTATTTCTTTAGGACTCCTCTAACATGAGTAGCTACTCCTGGTGAACTGGGTTAGTCTATGACTCACCTTGACCTTCTGCACATGGTGTACCTTTTCTGTACTATGTTGAACACATCACATTTTCTTCAGTTCCTCAAACACCTCTTACACAAAGTTGTGGAAGAAAGAACAAAAGATGATAATAATAGCTAACATGTGTTGAGCTGTACTGAATGCCAGGCACTATGCTAAATGAATGCATAATCTCATTTAATTCTCATAAGATCTGTATTTTTACAGAAGAATAAACAGGCTTACAGAGGTTAAACAATAAGCTTTTGATCATGCAGCTGGCAAAGGATGGAGTTGGGATTCAGCCCACCTGTGTACTGAGCTAATGCCCAATCCTGTGCTTTTCTGTGTGTATGTAACAGACTTCTGTTAGGATTTGGGGACTACTTGTTGGGGGCAGTAATTTTTTGCCCATTATGCTCACTACAGTCGATGTGGAACAGCTTTCTTTTTTTTCCCTTCAACTTTTATTTTAGATTCAGGGAGTAAAAAAGTACAGATTTGTTATCTGGGTATGTTGCATGATGCTAAGGATTGGGGTACAAATGATCCTATTACCCAGATAGTGACTGATATGGTTTCGCTGTGTCCCTACCCACATATCTTGAACTGTAGCTCCCATAATTCCCATGTGTTGTGGGAGAGACCCAGTAAGAGATCACTGAATGATAGGGGCAGTTTCCCCCATACTGTTCTCCTGGTAGTAAATAAGTCTCATGAGATCTGATGGTTTTATAAGGGGTTTCCACTTTCCCTTGTCTCTCATTTCTCTCTTACCTGCCACCATGTAAGATGTATCTTTTGCCTTCTGTTATGATTGTGAGGCCTCCCCAGCCACGTGGAACTGTGAGTCCATTAAGCCTCTTTTTCTTTGTAAATTACCCAGTCTTGGATATGTTTTTATCAGCAGCGTGAAGGGACTAATACAGCGAGCATAGTGCCCGATAGTTAGTTTCTCAGCCCTTCTGCCACTCCCTCCCTTCTTCCTCTAGTAGTCTCCAGTTTCTATTGTTGACATGGTTATGTCCATGTTTACCCAATGTTTAGCTCCCACTTATTAGTGAGAACACAGGGTATTTAGTTTTCTGCTCCTACATTAATTTGCTTAGGAAAATGGCCTCCAGCTGCATTCACATTGCTGCAATGGACATGGTTTTGTTCTTTTTTATGACTGTATAGTATGATATGTTGTATATGTACCACATTAAAAAAATTAAATTCGCCTTTGCTGGGCACCTAAGTTGATTCCATTTCTTTGCTATTGTAAATAGTGCTGCAATGAACATGGGAGTATATGTGTCTTTTTGGTAGAACTATTTGATTTTTCTTTTGCATATGCACCCAGTAATGGGATTGCCGGATTGAATAGTAGTTGCGTTTTAAGTTCTTTGAGAGATCTCCAAACTGCTTTTCACAGTGGCTGAACTAATTTTGGTTCCCACCAACAGTGTGTTAGTGTTCCCTTTTCTCCACAGCCTTGCCACCATTTGTTGTTTTCAACTTTTTATTAATAGCCATTCTGACTGGCATGAGATGGTATCTCATTGTGGTTTCAATTTGCTTTTCTCTTATGATTAGTGATGTTGAACATGATGTTGAGCATTTTTTTCATATGTAGGTTGGCTGCTTATATGTATTCTTTTGAGAAATGTCTGTTCATGTCTTTTACCCATTTTTAAATGAAGTTATTTGTTTTTTGCATGTTCAATTGTTTAAGTTTCTTATGTATTCTGGATAATAGACCTTTGTGGGACAGCTTTCTACATATATTTTCTAGATCTGTTAAATCCTAAACTCAATTATCTACTGTCTTAAGCAAGGTCCCACTGAAATCTCTTTTCCTGCATGAACTCTGTATAACTGATAAAACCATCCAACATTGCTTTTTCTTTTTAAGAACACTTGAGAAGAAGAAAGACATTAAGAACTAAAAGACATTACTTTCAAATAGGTACCCAGCAGGTACCCACCAAGTACCAAATAATGTGATAAATGATGGGGTGAGTAATTCCACAGTATCTAGTCTTGGTCTTAATGGAGTTGTAAGTTAGTTAGAAAGATTAAAATAATGCACATAGAGTTAAAGTTAACAGTACAGAGCAGTATAGCAGCATAGCATTGGGTGTACTTTTTTTTTTTGTATAGGCTGTATGTTAAATCAAAAGAGGGAAATTATGAAAGGCTGTAGGAATTTAGTAAAATCTCTCTGGAGGAGCTGAGGCCTGAAAAATACATAAAGCTTAGATAGAGAGAGAGCACTAAAGGGTATTTCAGAAAATATAGGCAGTTAGGAGGGAGGATGACATGTCTTTGAGAAAGTGTTAAGAATTGTTTGACAGAGAAAATAGAGTCTGAGTAATAGTGTTTGGGAATGAGGATGAATTGATGAAATGAAGAGCAGATAATGGAAGTCAGTGAAAGCTATTCAAAGGGCTTATATTTATGAGAAAATAGAAACTGTTGTGAGATTGTGAATAGTGGGGGGATATGATGGAAAAAATATCTTAAAAAGAAGGGCGTGGCAGTGATGCAGAGGGTCAGAGGGTGGTTGGGAGCTGGTAGGATAAAGGAGAAGAGCAAGATAGAGACTTCAATAATAAAGAGGAAGGAAGACACTCCTTTCAACATGGTGGGAGCAATCTAAGGACTTGAATAAGGTGGTGGTCATGGGAAGTCTAAACAAAGGATACATCGAAGAGCACTTTGAAGGAAAAGCTGACAGACATTGGTACCTGACTATAAACTCAGAAGGTTCAAGCCTGAATAAGGAAAGGATGTGGTGGTATTTATAGAAACTGGGAAGTTGGAGAAGCATCTGAGTATGGAAAGTGTTTTGAAAATGAGGTATGAAGTGAAAATGCCCAGGTAAGAGCTGGAGGTAAAGGGCAAGATCTTAGCTGAATGGAAGGTGTTTGACACTTCGCAGAAACTCAATAAAACATTTATCATTATTATGCATTATCACAGGTACTACATAGTATAATCATTGTGCACATCTATCTGTATTCTCCCACTAGACTATGAACTCCTTGAAAGCAGAGAATTTCTCATAGTCATTTTTGATTTCCCAGTGTGTAGCACAATGATTGGCACATAGTAGGGATGCAATATGTTTTTTTCTTTAATGATGAAAACATAGGAGAGTTGAGACATAGTAGTTGGTATATGTATAGTATTTATTTGCTGAGTATGTGAAGAAGGAAGAGGCAGAATTCAGGATTTTTTTCTTTACAATTTGATGTTGACTATGGAATTGTAAAACAATATAAATTTTTAGAATGTGGAGAAACTTAAATTAAAAAGTCTAAACACCACCCCTTTCATCGAGATCTATTTATACAAAGCATTAATCAGTGATTTGAAAAATTACTTTTTTTGTAGGGTAATAGCACTTTTTGCATTCTTAACATTCTGCATTTGTGTTTTCTTTTTTTATTATCAGATTTCCTAGAAATCCTGTCTTTTTTTGTATATTCTAATATTGCTTTGCATTTAAATTAATTCCTGCATTTATCATTAAACTTTTCCCTTCTTTATTTTGGCTTATTTTGCTCATTTCTTTTTTTATTTCTTGATTTGCCAGATTTGGTTCCATTGTTTTACTCTTTATTAATAGATGGATGTATTTTCTTGTGAATATTGCTTTGAACAAATCTATGGATTTTTAAATGTAGTACCATTATTAGTGTTAATTTTTAATGACATGTAATTTTAACTCTCAGTTCTTTGACCTGAAAATGCTTTGGAATATTATAAGTGGTTAATTCTCTTTCTACTCATTTAGTTAACTATCTTTTAATTATTAGTTTTTAGCTTTATTGCATTAGGAGCAGACAATGTGGCGTATATGATTCTTTCCTATTTTTTTTGAATCATTATATACTCATTTTTAGGTAAATATTCTGTAGCTATATGTTTAATATAAAGTTTTTTCCATCACCCTCTTTTTCTTTCTTTCTCTGAGAAATAGATATTAAAGTGTCCCATAGTGAATATGTTATCAAGTTATTTTTGCATTTCCAACAAATTTTGCTTTATATTTTTCTGACATAGTATTATTTGTTGTTTAGAGAAGGCAACACTAATACTCATTCAATGATTGCCACTAAGTGTGAAGGATGTTGTCAGGAGATGGACAG